ACTTATAAAATGGCATCCAGCAGCAGAGGAGAGGGTGCCTGAACTGCCCTTATCCCATAGCCACACTGATGAATATCTTACATATCACCATAGAACCTTCATCTGGCGATGGATGGAGATAGAGACAGAGACCCACATTGGAGCACTGGAATGAGCTCCCAAGTCCCAGATGAAGAGCAGAGAGAGGGAGAACATGAGCAAGGAAGTCAGGACTGCGAGGGGTGCATCCATGCACAGAGACGGTGGGACTAATCTAATGGGAGCTCACCAAGGCTTGCTGTACTGGGACTGAACGAGCATGTGATCATACCAGACTCTCTGAATGTGACTGACAATGAGGGTGGACTGAGAAGCCAATGATAATGACACCAGATTTTGATTCTACTGCATGTACTGGCTTTTGGGGATCCTAGTCTGTTTGGATGCACCCCTTCCTAGACCTGGATGGAGTTGGGGGCTTGGACTTCCGACAGGGCAGGGCATCCTGACTTCTCTTAGGACTGGAGAGCGAGGAGGAGGGGGAGTGGGGGGGAGTGAGAGGGAAATGGGAGGATGGGAGGAGGTGGAAATTTTTAATAAATAAATAAATAATATAAAATGGCATCCAGTGTTTGGCAATGTACATCTACATAAAGCCCAAGAAAACTTAAAAAGGGCATCTAGACCCACAAAAACAGGAGTTATTTTGGAGCTTTTTGGTAGCCACATGTTTTCAGATAGGCTGTTTGCTGGAGGTGAGCAGAGGCACAGTTCCTTTAAGAGATGTTAGGTTTTTATTATATTTTATATATAATACATCTCTGTATATCTAGAAAACCTAACATGTTTACTACAAATTTATTATAAATGACTATGTATTAGTCTATAATTTTAATTATACATTACATTATAATATATATATATATAAGCTTTAACACTTCAAAGAACTACAGAATTTGGCATTTAAATTGTTTTAAGAGCTAAGTCTTTTCTCAATAGTGAGACATATCTGCTTCTTGCTGCACCAAATACTTCAGAGAGGTTGATGGGCACTGAAGAAACTTTTTGTGGAATTTGCCTTCAATGTGATAAGACTAGCCATTTGGGCAAGAAACTACTCTTGCCTGGACTTTCAGATAGTATGCTGTATAAACTGGACATGCAGGGCCCATAGGAAAATGACTACTGAGCTTGCCTAAAGAAGGTGTGACAGTCCCTCAGGTTTCCTGTTTCATGAGTCTTCTAGACATTCTGCAGAACACAGAAGAAAGTGACTGACAAACTGTCAATATAGGTAAAACAGTCTTTCAAATTTCCTGCTTCTTGAAAAGGTCTTCCAGATACTATGGATCTGTAGGCTGAAGATGAATGCCCCAACATTACAGAAGAACTTTGGGTCCAGGCAGTCTCTGTCAATACTAGAGTTTCAGAAGTTGCTTACAATGCACTTCCGTTTCTTAGATAATATTATATTCTTCTGGGGTCTTTGATGGAGTTGAAGACAGCTATAGTTTTCTTTAGTTATAATAAAAGATAAATTATATATGAAAGTTTAGACTTTCAAAGAAATACTGTACCAGTAATTCTTGCTCGATACCTGTTTCGTTATATGTAATTTCACTATGTTAAAGTTAAAAAACGTGGAGATGATGTAGGATTCCCTTCTGTATGCTGTGACTATGTTTTATTTATTTATGTCCTTGGTTAATAAGGAAGCTTCTTTGGCCTATGACAGGGCAGAATATAGTCAGATGGAAAGCCCAAACAGAGATAGGAAGAGTAGGCAGAGTTGAGGAGACACCATGTAGCTGCTGAAGGAGAAAGATGTTGGAACCTTAACAGTAGGCCACAGCCTCTTTGCAAAACAGATGAATAGAAATGGGTTAATTTAAAATGTAAAAGTTAGCTAGAAATATGCCTGAGCCATCAGGCAAGCAGTGTTGTGATTAATATAGTTTTTGTGTGATTATTTGTGTCTGGGTGACTGGGAAATGCACAAGCAGTCTCCATTTACACCAGAGCCATGGGAAACCTTCCAAGAAAAGCAGCAGACTGGGCACAGACCAACTCGAGAGGGAGTAGTATGTTGCAGACAACTGAGAGGAGTTGGAAATTTGAAGACCCTTCCATATTAGACACGAAGATGCAAAGTTTGAAGACTTCCTTGCTGGTTTTATGTGTTCCTTTGGTTTAGTATTTTCCCACTCTGCTCCCTTTCCTCCATTTTGGAATGACAATGTTTTTCCTGTGATGTTGTATGTCAGAAGTATGTGATCTGCTTTTTTATCTTTATTTTACAGGGGCTACAGGTAAGAGATTGCCCTTAATCTCAGAAGACCTTTGAATATTGGAACTTTAACCAGTTTTGAGATTATTATGGACCACAGAGACTTTTGAAGTTGGACTGAATATATTTTTGCATTGTGGTATGGCCATAAGCCTATGTGGGCCAGGGAATGGAATGCAGCAGTTTTTAATAAGAATAGTCCCCATAGTTTCATAGACACTATTTGGAAGGATACTAGGTTTGATCTTGCTGGAGGAAGTATGTTACTGGAGATGGGTTTTGAAGTTTCGGAAGCCCAAGCCAGGTCAAAAGTCTCTCTCTGGTCTCTGATCTGTGGATTCAGGTGCAGAACTCTCAGTTACTCATGAGCACCACGTCTGCCTTCAAGCTGCCAGGATCACTGCCATGATGTTTGTATGGGCTGGTTTGTTTGTTGACTTGACACAAGCTAGATTCATCAGAGAGGAAGAAGCTTCAGTTAAAAAAAAATGCCTCCATGAGATCCACTAGTAAGACATTTTCTCAATTAGTGATCATTTGGAGAGGACCCAGCATATTGTGGGTGGTCTGAGCAAGCAATGTGAAGAAAGCCAGTGAGCCACACCCTTCCAGAGCCTCTGTAACAGCTCCTGCCTCCAGAATCCAGCCCTGCTTGACTTCTTCCAATGATGGCCTATGATCTGGAAATGTAAGCCAAATAATCCCTTTCCTTCCCAACTTGCTTTTTGGTCACAGTGTTTTTGTCACAGCAATAGAAACACTAAGACAATGATAATGGACTAAACTTCAAACTGTTAGAAAGCCCCAGTTAAATGCTTTCATTTGTACTAGTTTCTGTGGTTATTGTGCCTCTGCACCACAATAGAACACTGTTTAACACACAAAAAATGTATTTTCCTTTCAGTGTTTGTTTGTCTTACTATAACAGACTGTTTAGACCAATCTGGCCTGGAACTCATCATGACTAGCCTAACTCTGTCTTCCAGTTTCTGGAATTAATAGTATGTGCTCATATCCTGGATAATTTTGTTTTTGAAAATGATGGATTGTATGGGAATAAGCAGTTTACAAGTGAAAAGACTTTAGGAGATATTTTACCATTTCCCCAAGACTTCTCTTCCTGTTATTCAGTTTTCTTCTTCTTTTCATGTGCGTGTGTTGATGTAGTACCAGTTTTCCTCGAACTGACAGTGATCTTTCTGCCTCTGAATCCTTTGTGCTATAATTTAAGGCATACACCACCATGCCTGACTAGAAAAAAAAAAGTTTTATTCTGCAGTTCTCTTTAATTTTTTTATGTTATTATTTAATGTGTATGGATGTTTTGCCTCTGATTTTATCTCTGTACCCAGTTCATGCCTGGTAGTGGTGGTGGTGGGGGGGGCAGAAAGAGAGTGTCAGATTTCTTGGAAGTGGATTTATAGATAGATTAAATCACCATATGTATAACGAAATGCATCCTGCATGTTCTGCAAGAGTCTTTAGGACTATTAACTGCTGAGCTATTTCTTCAGCTTGTTTTCTGTTCAAGACATGCTATGCCACTAGGGCATCAGACTCCTGTTCTTCATTAAAGAGTAGAATCTTCTTCAAATGGGAGAATTAGCCTAAGGCAGGGATGAACTCTCTAACTTGTTACCTAATACATGGTTAGGTGACTAACCCCGAAACTATGTATACACAACCAAAAAAAAAATTATTAAGCAAGATATATTCATATATTTGTGTGCACATATTCATATAAATGTATAGAGACTTGACAAAAAAAGGTGTGAATAGGGAACCTGAGTAGGGATGAAGGGATGGCAAAGAAGGAAAGTAATGTAATTATATTTTAATTGAAAATGAATTAAAATAAAATGAAGATGAGATGGCCTAGATAAGTGAGTCTCAATCTGCGATCCACACCCCCTTTAGGTATTAGATACTCTCTCATGGGGTTTGCATATCAGATATCCTGCATATCAGATATTTACATTATGATTCCTAACAGTAGCAAATTTACAGTCTCCACTGTTATCTAACATGTATTTGTTATAGAGAATAGCAAAGATTTATACACCTAAATTCATTTAAATTTTGAAAATAAATAACAGACACATGAAAAATATTTATTTTTACAAACTGTTATGACATATATATGTGTGTCTTTTTACCATTTGTATATCTGGTGCCTTAGGAGGCGAGAAGAGGCATCTAATCTCCTGGATCTAAAAATACAAGTAGTTCTGAGTCACCTGATGTTGGAGCTAGGAATCAAACTTGGGTACTTAAGAGAAGCAGTACTACTGAACAAACTCTCCAGGTCCCGAATATGTGATTATAATAAAGATGAAGATGCCAAACTATTTCTTCTGTCTTATATCATGTGAAGGAGCTGAAGTACCTGTTAGATGGTTGTCAAATGAGTCAATGAATTTCTATTCCTCTGTGAATAGACTCTCCACATTGCTTCTTAATTTCATTATTAATATGGTTAATGTTAAGCAAAGATAAGAAAAGGTTTTATTGAAACCAGTCAGAGTTCAGTCAGGTTATATTAGGAAAAGTTTCATAATTCAATATATACTCTTTTTTTGGGGGGAAATTTTTTTTGAGACAGGCTATCACTATATAGTCAAGGCTGTTCTCGAACTCATTTATGTTGACCAAGATGGCCTCTAACTCAGAGAGAATGGCCTTCCACCATCTCCTAAGTACTGAGATTACAGGCTTGCACTACTAAGACCAGGAGAGATTTTTAAAAATGACTTATCTTTGAATAATGAAAGAATAAAATGAAGTTTACAAAGAAACCATTATTGTTTTGATGGACAATAATACTCCTTGAAATTCTATAATAACAATAACAATAATAATAATAAATTTAAACTTGAAAATTATTTCATACATTCCCAATAATTGGGTTATTTTCATTGCTTTTGAAAATTTCAGTCACTTAAAAATGCTTGAACTGTGTGTGTATATACCCATGCTATGTAACAGTGAGAGGTAATTTACAGGTGTCAGTTGTCTACTTCCTCTACGTGAGTTATCTACTTCTCTGTGAGGTCTAGAGATGAAACCTAGGGAGTCAGGTTTGGCTAAAAGTAACCTCATTAGCCCTTATTTGGATTTAAAAATTACTTATGTATGTGCTGGCATTGGAGAGTGCACAGTTCAAGTGTAGGTATAAGAGAAAAACTTGTAGGAGTATTACAGCGATTTAACTGAGGTCACTAGACTTAGCAGCAATCAATTTTACCCACTGAGATTTCTGGCATTCATTTGTGCTTCTGATGAAATGTTATGAACAATTGTTTAGTCCTCAGAATAAACAAACACAATCAAAGGAGAGAAAGAGCAAAGAAAAAAGAAAGATAGCAATACATCATTTTCATTTGCATTTATGATTATTCAAACTCTCCTGTTTTTATCATCCTTAGACGGCAATGTTTACAGTTTGAAAAGACAATATTTTATTGATGTAAGGTTTCAACTAATCTTTTTTGATAATCAGTGGGGGAGCTCACTGGAAAATGTCTATGGTGTGCAAAGCTGGAACCTGTCCTTGATATACATATAAAGACGGTAAAAAGTAGACCCCACAAAACTGTTTTTCGTCTCCACACTGTCTTGGCCTAAAAACTGATAATTACATTGGTTTTTACACACACACATGTATTAACACGTATATACAACATACACACACGCCAGGCTTTTTAAAAAAAAAAGTAAATCCCATTGCTGTTGCGTTATCTGGTATATTTAGATAAATTCCCTAGAAGGCAGTACTTCAAGATAAAGTGCCCAATAGATAACTAATTGGGGCATGAAGACGCATGGAACATCAACCAATACAACCACACCCATATCAAATATAGCTATGTTGTGTCATATGTTGTGCTGATTATCTTACTTTATCATATTTCACCCTGAAAGTAGAAAATGCCTCTTTGGATATATGCATGAGGTATTTATTGTTTTTTATGTTCTCTTCTATTAAGCATTTTAACATTAACATTGTTAAAATGTGTAGAAATATCAGCACACATCAGGGGTACATCTTCTGCCTTGGACTTGTATTCAAGATACTGACAAATGGATCAAGAGTTGAAATGTATCCCTGACTACTTGTAGATATCCAAGTCAGGCTGCAAGGGCCCACAGATGTGAGTCCATTTCACCCTGACTAAATGTTAGAGAGTCTGAGCTTATTCTTGCTCTCTCAAAGTTGCTGACAACAGGTGTGGCTACAAACAAGAGATCCTGATCAAGGATGTGGTGAATTAATATTTTAAGTATAAAGGTGGATCTGCTGTACCTTGACCAAAGGTCAGAGAATACAAGTCTATTCCTGTTTCGTTAAGGAGATTGGCTGGAAGTTCCAGGGAGTGGCTGCCTGCAGGTACTTGTTCAAAGGGTGGATTGTTATGTGTCCTGTCTAAACAACAGAGTACTTGACTGAAGATGCTGTGTTTATTCCTTATATCATGTTAATGAAGTCTGTTGCCTCCCCAGTCCCTTTTTGGAGTAGGATATAAACATGTAGAAAACAAACACAGGTGATTTCAGTATTTACTGAATTTCCCTCCTGGTTCTTCAGTATTTTGTTTCTCTCATATCTCTTTTTCTTTTGTTTGATAATTCAAATCCTCCTGCTCCTATCCTGGAATATGTGAACCCCTCCGAGGCTAGACCCCATCACCAGGCTAGACAACAAAAAACAACATCTCAAGGGAATTTGTGAATACATGAAAAACAAAACCAGGAACAAAATCCCAACACGCTTTCACAGACACCCTTACTTGAAAAGTGTGATGACACATGGCCTGATGTTTAAATAAACAATGGATCACTTAAAAGATGGGCATCACATTCTATATATTGCAAATATATACCAACCAAGTGAAAGTGCAAAAGGAAAACAATAGCTACACAAGGAATAGCAGGACCACAAAATAAACTTCACTAAATGAATTTGCTACATGTACTGCAAATTTCATACCTACTCCAAATGTTTCAAAACACAAAGCACAACCACAATTGTTATCTTCACCATTACACTTGCATGAACATGAAAAATAATTTACTTCTTTCAGGATATGATGAAAAAGAGATGAAACAACATTTTTTCCTTGAAAGTGAAGACAACTTTGATGTTTAAAATCTTTGTGAAATCATTTACATGAATAGGTTTTTTTTACCTTGTATGAATCTTTCCTATTATCTAACATTAAGTTGACATATAAAGTCTTTAAAACATTTACAGGGTAGGAGACGTGCACGGCCACACAGTTAAGACAGGTTCATTCCCAGGGCCAAGGTCAGGTTTTTGACAACTTCCTGAAATTCCTCCTGCTACAAGACTTTTGGGGAATGAGCACAAACATGCACATACCCACACAGAGACACATTGATACCACAACATGAAAATGAAAACAAATCATTAAAAAATTTTTCACTCATGAATGTTTTTCCCAAGCATTCATTACTTTAACACAGGTGTTGAGGCATCTGAAGGTCTGCTTACAGAGTTGGTTCATGACACAGAAAGCAAGCATGCAAACTTGAAGTCAGAGAAATTAATCCTTGGTGGCGTCATTTGGGAAGATTTAGAAAATGCTGTCCTGTTGGAAGAAATACGTCACCGAGGGTGGATGGGCCTTAGAGTTTACGTCTGTACACTATTTTCAGATCCCACTGTGTATTGCATGGTGCAGGCTGAGGATGTGAGTTCTTAGCTTTCTGCTGTACCCACCACATCTGACAAATTCTGCCATGCCATTTTCATAGTGATGCTGCAACCAAGGGCCAAGTTAAACTCGTCTGTAAGCTGACTTAGACATGCTTTATCAAAGCAACAGAAAAAGCATTAATACTCATCCATAGAGTTTACACCTGGATGAATTAGTTCATGTAATGGAAGAGAACTGTGAAATCTAAAAGGGTTATCTCCTCATATAAATTCATACGGTCATCATAATGCTTGAACAGATTGTTGACATCTGCCAGATCTTTTCACCAGAACAATCCTGTTTAGCTGAATGTAGGTGTGTTGGCTAAAGATCTTATCAAATCCCTTATAGTCAGATTCCCTTCTGTATTAGTGATTTTCAAGGGCTCAAAGATTACTGATATATAAAAGCTTGAACAGACCAACTACTAAATTTTACTCATGTCAAAAGACTACCATGAAGAGCAAAGTTTATAACAATGACTATATTTATGGGGCTTTTCCGCAGTATGATTTTCTTTTCTCATGAATTCGAAGATTACTGCTACATGCAAAGGCTTTACCACATTTATGACATTTGTAGGGTTTCTCTCCAGTATGTGTTCTCTTATGTAGTTGAAGATGACTTTGACGTGCAAAGTCTTTACCACACTGATTACATTTATAGGGTTTTTCTCCAGTATGTGTTCTTTTATGTATTCGGAGACTACTGTGACATACAAAGGCCTTACCACATTCGTTACATTCATAGGGTTTCTCTCCAGTATGTATTCTTTTATGTATTCGGAGGCTACTGTGACATGAAAAGGCTTTACCACATTGATTACATCCATAGGGTTTCTCTCCAGTATGTGTTCCTTTATGTACTCGGAGACTACTATGATGTGCAAAAACTTTACCACATTGATTACATTCATAGGGTTTCTCTCCAGTATGTGTTCCTTTATGCATTCGAAGACGACTGTAACATGCAAAGGCTTCACCACATTGATTGCATTCATATGGCTTCTCTCCCGTATGTGTTCTTTTATGAATTTGGAGACTACTGTTTTGTGAAAACGCTTTCCCACATTGATCACATTCATAGGGTCTCTCTCCCGTATGTGTTCTTTTATGCATTCGGAGGCTACTGTTTTGTGAAAACGCTTTCCCACATTGATCACATTTATAGGGTCTCTCTCCAGTATGTATTCTTTTATGTACTTGAAGGTGAGTGTGATCTGCAAAATCTTTGCCACATTGATGACATTTGTAGGGTTTCTCTCCAGTATGTGTTCTTTTATGTTTTTGAAGATAGTGACGTGCAAAGGCTTTACCACATTGATTACAAACATAAGGCTTCTCTCCAGTATGTATTCTTTTATGTACTCGGAGACTACTTTGATGTGCAAAAGATTTACTACATTGATTACATCCATAAGGCTTCTCTCCAGTATGTATTCTTTTATGTACTCGGAGACTACTTTGATGTGCAAAAGATTTACTACATTGATTACATCCATAGGGTTTCTCTCCAGGATGTGTTCTTCGGAGACTACTGTGATGTACCAAGGTTTTACCATACTGAATACTTTCATAGGATTTCTCTTCAGTATGAATTCTTTCTTGCCTTTGAAGATGTCTGTGATATGCAAAGTCTTTGCTACAATGAGGATATTCAAAAGTTTTCTCTCCAATATGACTACTTTCATACCTGCAAAAATAATTGGCAAATGGAAAAAACTTTACCATACTTATTAGATGATATTTATTTACTATATTTATCAATGATGAGCCATTATAACTGTATGAATTTTACAATGTAATCTAATTATAAAAAGGAATTAGAACTTAAGGTTTATAGTTATGGTGTTCCCCTTCATTAAGGATTGTTTTGCATATTTGAAGATGTCTGTGATGGTAACAACCTCTTTTATATGGCCCACATCTATAGCATTTTTTCCCTAAATGAGATTTTTCACATATTTAATGAGAACTAGAGGAATTCAGAACTTTACCACACTTTTACACTCACAAGTATTCCTATACTGTGAGTCATACTATATAGTGATATTTTGTTTGTTTTAACAAATAAAGGTTGCCTAAAGATCAGAGTGCAGAGTTATGCCACTCGAGATCAGGCACTGGTGGCACAAGCCTTTAATCTCAGGATTTGAAAGACAGAGGCAGAGGGATCTCTGTTAGTTCAAGGCCACCCTGGGCTACATGAGATTGGATTTGTCTAAAAGAGGAATAGAGCTCACACAAAGCTGATCCCAGCACTTGGGATCCCATGCCTTTAATCCCGCACTTGGGAGGTGAAGACAGGAGTGGTATGGCTGGGTAGAAAGAGGACTATAAGACAGGAGACAGGAACTTAGTGCGATCTGAGGTTTGGTGAAGACAGATAAAATCTGGAGATGTAGTTTGAGCACTGGGATAGATGAAAGAACTCTCTAGTGGCTGACCTCTCTGCTTCTCTGATCTTCAGCATTCATCCCTGTATCTGACTCTGGGCTTTTATTATTAAGACCAACTAATATTTGTGCTACATCTTGTGATTAAAGTTTGGGGTACAGATTTATGAAAAAAACATTTGTCTGTGGCTCTGCAGCCAATGGCATTGGCTGGAGCTACACGTAGATGGAATCACTTCCCTACTGGCTAGGTTTTTCTTTCTTCTTTCTTGGTTGGCTTTTCCTGGATCCCCTTCTTGGGCTGCTTCCAAACTAGGCAGCTGCCTTGAAATCTGGTCAGATTTTTACTGTTCTACAGAACAGCAGTCAGCCTCACATTGTCATCATCATCGTTGGCAGATTTGGGGAGAAAAATAGGAAATTATTAAAGGGAGGAATTAGTTAAAAGAGAGTTTTTTCCCACATTAAAAAAATGGGAAACAGTTGTTATGGAGAAAGTTAGGTCTCTGTATGATTATATATAGCATGATATAAAGTGGAACAATTAAATGAAGGGATAATCAGCTTAGCTGGGATTAATATACTTTGAATTGTCATTTTGATAATCCTTGTTGTCATTTTGATAACTCATGGTTTATCTCTTAAAATGTTGTTTGATATGAACACTGAGATACAGGCCTTAGAAAAACTTAATAAAAGAGATCATAGAGATATTCAAATCCAGACAGAGGAATTTAATGGAGAACCAATTTTAGTGTTACATTATAAGGTTAGAGATGAACAGACTACCTTAATATAAATCAGTATTTTAAAAAACCAACCTTAATATAATCAGTAACCTTACAGGAACTGCCAAATGATAGAGGCTCTGTAAGAGCTGAATGGACTCCTTTGCCAATGTTAGATTTAAGGAGATTCAAGGAAGTGATAGTCTCATATGGCATGCTTTCACAGTATGTGAAGCAGGTGTTAAACTCACGGTAATCTTGTAATGCAACTATTCATAAAGATTGGAAAGATTTGGTCACAGTAATCTTGGAGACTGGTCCACAATTACCATGGAAGACCTGGTTGAAAGAAGAGGCTAAGATGATTGTTAACAGTGTAGAAGTACAGGTATGGAAATCTCTCAAGTTTAATTTCTTGGAGAAGGAGATTATGTGAATATAGAAAGGCAATACCCATATGACAGCCATATATGCTTTATGTGGCTTTATGCCATGCATCAGCTTTTAATGCTTGGGAGATAATAGAAAAAGTAGGAAGGAAGATTGACTCACTTATTACAGTCATACAGGGCCCAAAAGAAACCTTCACTGATTTCTTACAAAGATTGGCATCAGCAGTAAATAGAATGATACCAAATTCAAAAGGCAGACAAAAATAATTGAAACTCTGGCTTTTGAAAATGTTAATTCTCAATGTAAAATGATAATTAGGTCTTTAAAGGCAAGACCAGAGTCCTTGGAGGAATGGATCCAAGATGCAATCACATGACCATGATGATGCTTGGATAAGAGAAGGGATTTCCAGAAGTTTGAGGAAAAATTGAAATGTCAAGTGTTTTAATTGTGGCAAAACAGATTACCTTAAAGGGGACTATAAACAGGGCATTCCTAGAAAAATTGTTTTTTCTAAGCATAATTCAAACAGAATGCCCTTCCCTTCTGGGTTATGCAGAAAATAAGCCATAGGCAAGCACTGGAGAAATGAATGATGATCAATGAGGGACAATCAATGTAACTCTTTGCCATTGGGAAACTCCTTGAGAGGCCTTTTGCAGGCCGCTGCACCAAATTTGGTACAGTTGTTTCCTGTTATTGTAGAGGAAACTCCTCCTCAGAGTAACTAAAGAACCTAATGCATATTATAAGAAGTCACACTGTTGTGGATGATAAAACAGCTATAAAAAAGAGAACAAAAGTTCAGAAGAAACCATAGAGTGGGTATTTTGGCAAACTTCAATAAATGGACAAAGACTAAAACTAAGAATACAAATAAATAGGGGTTGGACATATGGCTCAGTGGTTAAGAGCACTGGCTGCTTTTCTAGAGGTCCTGAGTTCAATTTCCAGCAACCACATGAGGGCTCACAACCATCTGTAAGAAGATCTGGTGCCCTCTTCTGGCCTGGAGGCATACATGCAGGCAGAACACTGTATATGATAAATAAATAAAACTTTAAAAAATAAAAATAAATGATGTCATCATTAAAGACTTGGTAGACATGGATACCGATGTAATAATAAGTGCACCAGAATCTTGGCATCCAGATTTGCCTCTTCAGGATGTCTGTTCAGTTTTTAGGGATCAGAATTTTTTCTCAGGTAAAGCAGAGCATGAGATGAGTCAAATGGATAGGATCAGAAGGACAGAGAAGAATATTAAAATCATATGTGACTAACATAGCAATGAATTTGTGGGGATATGATTTGTTACAACAATGATACTCAGATCAACATTCCCTTAGAAACAAATTATAAATTAATTAATGTTTCTGGCGAAAATATTACAAGGTAATATAAAGAACTGTCACTGACCATTCAGGTTGTACAAGAAGAGGATATAACAGCAGCTGATCTTTCAAAGCTATCAACAGCTCTACCTTTAAAATATTTGGCAGACATCCTGTATGGGTTGTGCAATGGTACTTAATAACAGAGAAACTGCAGGAATTAGAAAGGTTGGTAAAGGAGCAATTAAATGCTCAGCATATTGAAGGATCAACTAGCCCTTGAAATTCTCCTGTATTTATTGTTAAAAAATAAATCTGGAAAATGAAGAAAGGTGACGGATCTAAGAGCTGTCAATAGGTGATTCAGCCAACGGGCCCTCTACAGTCTAGCATTCCTTTGTCTTCTCTATTGCCTAAAGGATGGCCTCTTATAGTTACTGATTTCAAAGATTGTTTCTTCACTATACCTTTACAAGAAAAAGACAGAAAAATTTGCCTACACAGCGTCTGCTTATAAAAATTCTCAGCCTGCTAAGATATATCAATGGAAGATTCTCCCCCAGCAAATGTACAATAGCCCCATCTGTAACAATATTTTGATGGCAGTCAGCAATTTCCTGAATCTAAAGTTTATTATTACATGGACATTTTGCTATCTGGTTCAAAGGCAGACACTTTAGAAAGAATGTTTGAAGAGGTAAAGAAAATCTTGCCTTGTTGTGAATTACAAATTGCTCCTGAAAAAATACAAAGAGGAGATTCTATTAATTACTTAAGCTATAAAAATACATTTGCACTGGGCTGTGGTGGCGCATGTCTTTAATCCCAGCACTTGGGAGGCAGAGATAGACAAATCTCTGTGAGTTTGAGGTCAGTCTGGTCTACAAGAGCGAGTTCCAGGACAGGTTCCAAAACTAGAGAAACCCTGTCTCGAAAAACAAAAACAAAAATAGGTTTACAAAAAAACTAGACCCCAAAAGGTACAAATTAGGAGAGATCAATTTTAGACTCTCAATGACACACAAAGATTACAAAGATTACTAGGAGGCATTTCATATTTATGGTCCAATAGGATAGGCCCTGAGGAACTAAGTAATTGATCAAAACCTTAGATTGTGGCAAGAACTTAAATAGTCCCAACTGAAGCTGAGACAGAATTGGCTTTGATAGAAGAGAAATTACAGAAGGCACATGTCAATCATGTGGATCCAAAACTTAACTGAGTTATGGCCATATTACTCTCCAAGCATTCCCCTGCAGGAATTTTTAATGCAGATGGAAATATTATCTTAGAATGAACTTTTTAACCATATAAACCAAGTAAAAAATTAAAAACTTATGTGTAAAATGTCTCTGAATAAATTCTAAATGAAAAATTGATATTACTATCAATAAACAGGAAGTGACCCAGCAGAAATTGTTGTATCATTCACTGAAGATAAAATTGACAAATTTTAGGCAGAAAGTGAACCCTGGCAAAGAGCTTGTAATAATTTTCTGGTAAAGATTTACAACAAATAAGGCAAAAGCAAGGGAATTCAACATATTAAAAAAAAACTAGCTGAATCCTTTCTCACATTGTACAGGAAACACCAATATCTGGAGCCCCTACATTCTATACTGATGCAAATTATTCAGGAAAGGCAGGTTATAAATTAGAAAAATTAAGTAAGGTGAATCTAAGCCCTTATAATTCTGTCCAAAAGTAAGAGCTATATGTGATTCTCATGCCACTAATGTATTTTAAGGAACCTTTCAACACAGTTACTGGTTCACAATATGTGGAAAAGGTTGTTTTGCATATAGAAACTGCTGAATCTATACCAGATGATACAGAATCGA